ATGAGCATAAGAGACTTCTTTAAAAAACATTACAAGTCTTACTGATCCCAAACTTTTGAGCGGTAGTGTGTGTGTATATATATATATATATATATATGTATATACACATAAAATGGTCTTCTTGTTTATTATTTCTTATTTAATGTAATTATATTAATTTTGATCACTTATTATTGATTTTAAAAAATAAAATAAAAAATATATAATAAAAATGTATAAAATTATATGTAATTTACTTAAGAGATTAACAGTTGTATTGATTATATATCATTTATTTTTTTTTAATTACTATCTAATGTTGTAGGTTTGATCTATAAAAAACGCCATTGTGCCCTTGAGCAAGATAAAAAGCACATGTTGTTTTCAGACAGACTGTCCTTGTAATAAATGCTGTAGGTTGATTAGGTTTGTAACTTAAGCCTCTAACTGCCTTCACTAGGACAAAGACGGTGAGTTAGTAAAGACTGGAAATGCTGCACTGAGGGCTCAGATCAGTGGTGCAGATGGAACCGTCACCGAAACGGACATAACAGACAACAAGAACGGCACTTATGAGATCGGCTACACTCTCCGCTCAGAGGGCGAGTTCTCCTTCTCCATCCTGCTCTACGGGCAGCCCGTAAGGGGCAGCCCCTTCCGCCTGCGGGCTGTCAAGCCCTGCGATGCCCCGCAGTCGCCCGATGATGTGAAGAGACGCGTGAAGTCACCCGGAGGAGGTGGAGGGGGTGGAGGACATGTGCGCCAGAAGGCGGTGCGCAGACCCTCAAGTATGTACAGTACAACGAAGAAGAAGGAGAATCCCATAGAGGATGAACTCATCTACAGAGTGGGTGAGTGGAGATTACATTTTCAGATACATTTCAGATTGTCCTAAATATATTTTAAATGTACATTTTGTAATATATTTTGATATTTGATGAAATTATTTATTTATTTTTTTTTTTTCAGTTAGTTGCCAAAGCAACATTTCTTTATACATGGAATCATTTCTTTTTTAAGTTTAAAGCTCAGATATTTAAAATACATTATTTAATTTTTATTTTATTGAACAGACACCTGCTGTAATTATAATCAACTGCTTATGTTGTTGCAGGTGCTGCAGGCCCAACTCAATGCACTACTACAAGGGAAGGAAAACATCCAGAGCAATTGTAGCTTCACAGAGCAGGCGCTGAACCATGGCAGCCCCACTGAGGTGCTCCTGGTGCAGAAGCAGATGGGAGAGCGGATGAGTGCTCTGGCCCGCCACGCCTTCCCTGAGCAGCCCCATGAGAACGGCCACCTGGACTGTCAGGTGGAGACAGAGGGGCTGCGCCGCTCCATCCAGAACCTGGGAGTCCTGCTCAGAGGATGAACTCATCTACAGAGTGGGTGAGTGGAGATTACATTTTCAGATACATTTCAGATTGTCCTAAATATATTTTAAATGTACATTTTGTAATATATTTTGATATTTGATGAAAATTGATTTTATAACATGAAAAATATATTTCCTTAATCGGCAAGATTTACAGCATATATTTAGCATACAGTACAGGTGCATCTCAATAAATTAGAATGTCGTGGAAAAGTTCATTAAAATACATTATTTAATTTTTATTTTATTGAACAGACACCTGCTGTAATTATAATCAACTGCTTATGTTGTTGCAGGTGCTGCAGGCCCAACTCAATGCACTACTACAAGGGAAGGAAAACATCCAGAGCAATTGTAGCTTCACAGAGCAGGCGCTGAACCATGGCAGCCCCACTGAGGTGCTCCTGGTGCAGAAGCAGATGGGAGAGCGGATGAGTGCTCTGGCCCGCCACGCCTTCCCTGAGCAGCCCCATGAGAACGGCCACCTGGACTGTCAGGTGGAGACAGAGGGGCTGCGCCGCTCCATCCAGAACCTGGGAGTCCTGCTCACCACCAGCACCGTGGGCCACACCAGCGTGGCTACTGGAGAGGGTCTCAGACATGCTGTTGTTGGGCAAAATACCACTGTTACAGTGACCACTAAGGTTAGTGATGATGTTTCAATTCAGTTTGAAAACATACGGTAAATTTCAGAACTGCTGAATCTAAGTGGGTTTCCTGTTGTGTCTGCTATAAGTTGCTATATAACAAGACGTTTATATAGTTACTTATAGTCCTAATTAGAGATGCGCTCATAAAAAATTCAGGTTAATAATCAATAATAAATGAATAATTATTTTAATACATTTAGGCAATACATTATAAAACTATTTTATAACATTACATGTCTTTAAATATTAAAAATAAAAATAAATTAAAAATAAAATTAAAAATGTATAAATGTATATATTTAATATTATATTAAATGTATTACTTATGTTCATAGATTAAATTTTAATATTTGTGTAGTTTTTATTTCAATTTATGAAAATATTTATTTATTATTAACAAATTATTTATTATTTAAATATTATTTAAAACATCTAAACATTGTTCATGAAAATGAATTACACAGATATGTGACTAAAAAGTATTAAATTTATTAAATAAACACATTTATTGTTTCATTTATTTTATTTTATTTATATCACTTTTATATGTTAATTAAAATATGTTTTTATTATTATTTTTTATTTATTTATTTTTAATTTTATTACTTTAAATTTACTTTAAATTTATTGAAATATGAAATTATATATATATATATATATATACACACTACCGCTCAAAAGTTTGGGATCAGTAAGACTTGTAATGTTTTTTAAAGAAGTCTAACTTTTCCATGACATTCTAATTTATTGAGATGCACCTGTATATTTTAATTATATTTTGGTCAGAAAAATTTATATTTTTACCATATGAGATTCCAGGCTATGGAAATGTATAAAATCTAAAAAACTTAAATGTCACTGGAATTATTCATTTAATAATGCAATAAAGTTGAGCTATAAAGATGAAAAGGTCATGTCTGCATTCTGCTTTATTATTGTCCTGCATCATAATGTGTCAGCTGACGTCTTATTTGATGTGACAGGGACGAGGGGTCGCGAGCGGGGGGAATTCTCCAACCTGCAGGGCATCTCTACCACCAGCAACGGCCGAATCGTGGTCGCTGACAGCAACAACCAGTGCATACAAGTAATACTAAGTATCCTGACGGGCGGCTTTTAACAAGTAAATGTGGACCGCATGGCCAGAGTAACTTATATTTGCTGCATTCTGTGATCTTCTAGGTGTTCTCTAATGATGGTCAATTCAAACTGAAGTTCGGGGTCAGAGGTCGCTCCCCTGGTCAGCTCCAGCGCCCCACTGGCATTGCAGTGGACTTGAATGGCGACATCATTGTGGCCGACTATGACAACAAGTGGCTCAGCATCTTCTCTCCAGATGGCAAGTTTAAGGTAAGTTACAGCTCTTTTATGATAGTTTTAAATAAAAAAAATATATAAAAAGAAATTATATATATATGACTTTTTAAAATGGTAAAATTAAATAAAATTAAACATGATACTAGAAGTCATAATTTTTTATTTTTAAAGTAAAATAATATTATTTATTCATCATAAAAAAATACAATAAAGCATTATGTCAGGAATTAGCTTTTAAACATTAAAAGCTTTCAATACAAAAACATGTATTTAAATACTTTCTAGACATGCCCTTATTAACATGTGATGGGGAAAAAATAGTAAAACAAATATTATTATGATTAAATGATAAATACTATTAATTGCAAAATATTAATAATACAATATGTATATAATATAAATATAATTTTTTTTTATATTATATTAAAACTAGTATGAAATGTTTCAAAAATATATTATGATTGAACTCACTTTTTCCAAGCATCATTCAGCTTTTACTAATTTATGTTGTTTGTGTTACTCCATAAAATGTCTGCTACTTTGATTTGATTAATTAGTGATGTGCGAATGTGTTTCTCTTGGTTTTCTGACAGAATAAAATCGGTGCAGGTCGGCTGATGGGTCCTAAAGGAGTGGCCTTGGACAAGAATGGTCATATTATCACGGCAGACAACAAGGCCTGCTGTGTCTTCATTTTCCAATCCAATGGCAAACTGGTGACCAAATTTGGTGCCAAAGGAACATCTGAGAGGCAATTTGCAGGTAATATCTCTTATTTTGTCTTCTGATACACTGGTCTCCAGCATTTAATTCATGGCCAGATCACATTTTGATCAAATGCCACTTTTTGTCTTTCTGCAGACAAAAGCACTCCGAATACACCGACAGAGCCAAAGCAGAGTAAATCTGGCCCTGCCTTCAGTGAGTTTTTTTTTATTATTACTTTAATTTTGTGCATTTGGATAGTTATTATTGATTATTGAATGAGGTCATCTTAAAATGAAATGGGAAGCCTTGTAGGATAATTGATTATCCACATGCTGAGAGAATTTTTTCCTTTTTTGTATGTAGGTAGAGGTTGCATGCATCAAGTGTTCTCTGTGTTGCTGGACATTTCCTTAGAAACATAACAACGCGTTGAGAATGTAATGGTTGCTCTCTCTCTGTCTTTCTCCTTCTATGGACATAAGGTCCTCATTTTGTGGCCATAAACAACAAGAATGAAATTGTTGTGACAGACTTCCACAATCATTCTGTAAAGGTACGCTGAGCTCTTCTCTTTTTCTTTGTAAATTGTTCCACATGCCATAACATATTAACATCAAACACTAACCAGATCTGTTGTCTGTTTTTATTGGGTTCTGCCTCTAATTAATGTCACTTTAAAGGGCTACTAACCCTTTAATGCAGCTTTTGCTTTTACATTGTCATGGTCTTTTTTTCCCCTTTTTTTGGTCTTTTTAATGTGGATTGTTTGGGATTTGTGGCTTCTTGCAGGTTTACAATGCTGATGGCGAGTTCCTGTTTAAATTTGGCTCACATGGTGAAGGGAACGGCCAGTTCAACGCACCCACCGGCGTGGCTGTAGATGGCAATGGGAATATTATTGTTGCAGACTGGGGTAACAGTAGGATACAGGTAAGCTGTGGAATGTTCTGATTTCATATTAAATGTGATTGTATAATAGTTTTATAGTTTGGGCAAAGTCAAATAATTTTTTTATGTATTTTTGACATTTTATGTAATAACATTCTAAAATTATGTGGAAACTTTACAGTTTATATACAATGACTCAAGTATTTACACACTTAAGTCAGAATTCGAAATGTATGAATTCCATTGCTTTAGATAACAAAAGATCAAAACTAATAGCAGCATGATTTCTCTGAGATTTTTTTTTTTTTTGCAATTACTCTCAGCCACCTAGCCCTATTTTATTTCATAATATTCATTTTATTTTATAACATAATTAAACATTTTTTATTTATTGAGCAGTAAATTAAAAATCTATTCCACTTTTTTTGCAATGACTTTCAGTTACCTAGCTGTGTTTTATTTCTTAATTTCATTTAATTTTTTAACATAATTATATATTTAATAAAAAAAAAATCTATTCCACTTTTCTAAGACACTTTCGTCATTACTTTCAGCCACCTAGCCCTATTTTATGTATAATTTTATTTTGTATTTAATTTTTATTTTATATAATTTTTTTGTTGACCAAAGAATGTACTTTTTGAGACATTTTTGCAACAACCTTTTATTTCATTATATTTTGTAATATAATTATATTTTTAATATAAAAAAAAAAAAAGTACATTCCATTTTAACCCACATAGCACTATTTTAATTTTTTTATTATATATTTGTATATACTTTCAGCAATTACTTTCAGTTTTATAGTAAAATTATATTTTTTCATGAAAAATAAATTTCACTTTATGGACATTCATTAAAAATGCTAATGGTAATAAATTAGTAAAAGTACATTTAATGACTATATCTTTTGTCATTTAGGTGTTCGACAGTTCTGGCTCTTTTCTGTCATACATCAACACGACAGCGGATCCTTTGTACGGTCCACAGGGTCTGGCTCTCACGTCAGATGGTCATGTGGCCGTGGCAGACTCTGGAAACCACTGCTTCAAAGTCTACCGATACCTGCAGTAAAGACTCGCCGTGATGGAAGAGTTAAATATACTGTAAGCTCCAACAGTCTTCTTTGGCATTTCATGTTTTCCTTTGCACAAGTCTCTGCACACAAAATTCCAGCCATTTGACTAATGCTGAGGTGAACAAACCCAGGGCTTCATGAATGTTGCATCCCTATTTGATGAATTTCCATTGATTTGTGTTAATAGTCACTTCCTAAATGAATGTACATTGAACCCAAGCAAATAACACAGTCGCTGTGTATATAACAGTGACCGAGGGCAGCTATCTGCATGCTTTTATAAAAGTCTTTCTTGCAAACCTTAAATGCTGCTTGACAAACCCCTCCGTTAAATTGCAGGGAACTAAATGGTGGTCAATAAATGCTTTCTGGGCAAATCATTAATGCAACGGCTTAAGAATGACCTGCGGATGGCGCTATCTCACATCAAACCGGCCTTTTGTGCATTGATTAGCTGTACATGTGTACGCATTTGTATCATATGGTGTAAATCTGATCGCCATTGATTTGCTGTAGTATGGTTTCAGAGATCCACTCTCTCTAGTGCGCTGAAGCTTAATATTAAGATAATCCGGCTGTCAATGTGCTTTAGTAAAACTGCTTGTAGGCCTCTGATTTTAAAAGCTACGCCTATACGTCACATGGGCTTTCTACATATCACTGAACACAACAGCACAATTTACATATTGCATGCATTTTATTCACGTAAAAAGGTTATAAAGCAAGTTTATTTATTTTGTAAACAATGGTATAATGTTATTTTTCTAAGTTGAAGTGTTTTGTTTAACTGCAGTTCAATGCCTTCGGTGGTTTTCACAAGGTGTGCAAAGCTAACGTGTTGTGAAGTACAACTGAGTTTTTTTTTTTTTTTACGCACATGATAGTCACCATGTCATTAAAAGGAATGTGGATGTGTCATATCAAGACGCCGAAGATATGAACTTAAAAAAATAAGGGAAAATGAATTTACATTTTAAGTTGCCAAATTACGAAAAGAACAATTTGCCATAGTTGACCATATTACGAAGCATTTACTACTGTTTTTTAAATTATTTTTTATTTCGTTTTATTATGAATGTAAACAAATGAATGAAAAATAAAAAAAATTACTGCATTAGAAATGACAGTTTTATCATTCTGGCCCAGATGTTATACTACTAAGTACACAAAAGCAATGAATACTGAATCAGGAGCACATTTGTACTTTATATAGAGTCGTGATTCTGATTTGACAAATGTCTGCGAGCAAAAGCCAGTGTTTTTTAAGCCACTAAATACAGTATTCTGTAATAAAACTGTACAGTGTATAACAACAACGGAACACGTGAAGCATTTGAAACAGTATTTAACTGCAATAATGAATCGTGAATATTTGTCAGAAATGTAGCATCTCTAAAAGTACCCCTAAAAAGAGTACCCATGATTTATGATGAAGGTTGTGATACAGAAAAGTTAAAGGTCGTCATGTCAAATTCTTCCCATTTGACTGTGACAGAATGAAGGGTAACTTGAAGCTACTGTATTGCCAATACACATGAAAAACTGAATTGAAATGCTTCAGACTCTAGTTTCCAATGTACCAAACAACTGTAACAGTCTCTTTAATATGTCAGTATGCACTAGAAATAAAAGCACTTCATTTACCGAGCCAAATAATAATGATGTAAGTGGTTATTTTCCATCTTGACTTCTAAATGTCACAGCGTTTGATGGGGTGTTGCTTTATAAATTCATTAAGAAGATGGCAGGCAGAGCGATTTATGGTTGCCTTGCAGTTCTTTTCTTCTGGTATCCTCTCGATCCACATGTCATTGTTCAGCACATACCTGAAACTTCAGAAACAACAGAAGAAAAATGTTTTACAAATCAAAAAATAGCAATTTGCATTCCTTTTTGTCTTTTTAATAAACATCAGATCTCAAGGCTTACTGTTGTCCGTTGTTATTGAGCACTGATATTGCGTCGTTCTGCCCCATGATCAGATAGTGGGCTTCATTTTTCAGCTCCAGTTCGTCACAAGATAAGCGCAGTATCATCTGACGTGTGGCATGTTTCTGAATACCAGAATCCAACAACCCTTCAAGAGGAAAAGTGTTATTATTATTATTTATGCAGTAACAATTTACAATAAGGTTATATGTTAACAGCATTAGTGCATTAGGTTATGTATTAGGTACTTTATAGAATCCATAACATTTACATTTATTAATTTATTAGACAATTTTATCCAAAGTGACTTTCAAATGAGGGAAAATGTACAGTCAGTTGTCAATTACCGTTTATTTTCAAATAATGACCAGCTGATTGTACACTATATTCCCCACATCCCATATGGCAAGAAACATATTTTCTGGCCAAAATATGATTTAAATACATAGCATTTATTTCGTTTAAAACCTCATATACCGATACATATTTCAGAATGTATTTCAGAGGCCAGAAAATTTCTAGGCTAAATGCAAATGTGGATGGAATAGCCTACTAGAGATCAAAACTATAATTATTTAATGTGTTATATATATATATATATATATATATATATATATTCTGTATATATATATACTGTATTCTATATATAGTACCAGTCAAAAGTTTGGACGCTTTTGACTGGTACTGTACTATAATATTATATATATATATATATATATACAGTATATATATATATATATATATATAGTAATTTTTTTATGGAGGGCAAAATACACTTGAAATATTTGTAAAATATATTTTCAAAAATATACAAAAATGGCCAAAATAAAATGTCTACCAATATAATTACAGATATATTTTGAAACATATTTTAGAAAATATGTATTTTTGGCTTTTTTTTTTTTTTTTTATATATTTTTAAATATACTTAAAAAT